AAGCAGCCTTTAGGAACCCAACTCTCCTGTTAGACAAAAAAAAAAAAAAAAAAAAAAAAAAAAAAAACACAACCACAAAAAAAAATATAGAATAAAACCCTGTGTCAAAGCCTCAAAAAGCAAAGGAAAAGAGGGAGGGAACAAATAAAATTCAAAACAAGAAAGAAAAAAAGAAAGAAAGAAAGAAAGAAAGAAAGAAAGAAAAAGAGGAGGGAGATGTTTGTGCTTTGCATATATATTTTTAAAACTGCAAATGCCATTTGATTAGAAACAGGTCCCCAGAATCCATTCAAACGGGTGTAAAGCAAGCTTCTTCCTACAAAATCCTCCTTGGTTCCTGTCAAGCAGGTGTTTGCCTTAGAGAAAGCACAGACCATTGAAAAGAAATTACCAACCGTTGAACCTTCAGACCTTGCCACAAAAACACAAAGCTTTCACACTGCTGGTTTCACTGGCAATCTGGTGCGAGCATTCTGTTCCTTGGGTATCCATTAGTCTACACATAAATTAGAATGTTGAAGACGAGTGCTGGAAGGATTACAAAGCGAGAGTAGAAAGAACTTTACCAGGGACTGGAGAGATGGCTCAAAGGTTAAGAGCACTGGCTGCTCTTCCAGATGACCCGGGTTCAATTCCAAGCATCCACATGGCAGCTCACAACTGTCTATAACTCCAGTTCCAGGGGGTCTGTCACCTTTGTACCAATGCACATAAAAAATAAAGTTAAATATATTTTAAAAAAAAAAGAACTTTACGGTGCAGACCCTGATTAACTGTAACAGTTACCCCTCTGGTGGAAAGAAAGGCTGACTGGTCTCAAGTGCACTGTTTTCTAAATTGATTAACGTGGCCTAGGTGGACACGCACACAGGAAGGAAAAGATTGGGCTGGGCATGTTAGCGAAGCTTAGCTAGTCAAAGCGCAGGATTTGCAGGGCTGGGATGCCTGCAGGAGCCTCGAGGTCCCGCAGATTGCCCAGACCCCGACATTGCGCAGGGACCAGGAGACACAGAGCACAGCTATGGTCCCACCTAGTCGCCTGCCTCCTGCTCTCATAGCCCTGGCTCTTCGCGGTCTGTTCTGCTGCTTTTCCCCGCCCACAACGCTGTCGGGATTGGACTGAGTGACAGGTCTCCATGGAGACGCAGAACTGAAGAGGGGAGAGTGGGAGGCGAGTACCCAAACATAAGTGGAGAACTGTGCTTAGTACTCACAAGGGGAGGGAAGCGGAGGCAGTGAAGGAAAAGGCAAGTGAGAACCTCTCATGAAAGGCAGGGGGGAAAATAGACCACGTGGCTATAAACAGCCTTAGCTTGGGGTTAAATTTATACAGGTGACTTTGCATGTGTAAACAAGGGCGCAGTGAAACCACCAAAACCCCCTGGGTGTAAAGAAAGGTTTATTCAGGGGGAATTCGCAAATGTCATGGCTAGCTCTCTAGCAATGGTGGGGAAATCTTGGCAGTTGTAAGGGGTTAAATTGCCAAGGGAGGAAGAGAGTGAAGCTGGAACAGCCTGGGAAGCAGTGTGAGGCTTTGAGCTGTGGCAAGCCTGTTGGAGTTAATAGAGAACTAGATGCCTTTTGCAGAGGTGGATAGGTAGGGAAGATAAAAAGGTAACCGCTTTCCCTGGCAAACAGAAACCTACTTTACAAGGTTTCTTAGGAATGCTGAGTAAAGTTTATCAGGTCTGAGTCCGGCCTGAGCTGAGCGCAGACTGTCATCTACAATATTGTCAGTGGCATTGCCATTTGGGGTTTGGCAATCTGGACCGGCAGTCTTCTTTAATATGCTTGACAAGTGGCATGCACATGCATTTTTATTTCATCATCTTCCTCAGTCACCTGTCCTGAGCATGTTCTCCAATTTTGTTTTGTTTGTTTATGTGAGGGTTTTGTTTGTTTTCCATCTTTTTAGTCGGCTTCACTCATCTTCATGATTTCAGCTATATTCAAGATTTCTAGTCAGTCTGCTTAGGATTTCATTTCTCTCCAATGACTCAAAGATGTATTTGTAGCACAAGGAGGGATCTTTGTCCATCTGGATGACTCCCACAGGCAACTCAGATCATCCTTCCATTGCTAAATCCACATGTGATCTGTCCTCTCTGGGTTAGCCTTGGCTCACAACTCACTCACTGCAGCTACTTCCAAAAAATTAGTATCTGAATCTTGTCTCCTTTTGAATTCATAAGTTTCTTTGGGCTACCCAGAATAGTATTTGTGAAATAAAGAAATGATCTGTGTGTGGAGTGCCTACAGAGAAGCCTGTCCCTGGCCTACCATGCCCCTCATCATATTCACTGTTGAGCTTCGTCCCTTCTCTCTGTCATGGAACCTTGACATATCACTCACTGAAAGTAACAGACCACCTACATCTGAACTTCTGTTTTCTATAACACTGTTCTGTGGTAGGAATATTTACTTTTTATGTGTACCCAGATTAGGAGCCCAGAGATGGGAAAACATCTGTAATCAGGAAGCTTTACAAAGGACTATACTCAGGTGAATGGAGGGTTCTATATTGTGAAATATTACTTTAACTATGTAAACATGTGTTACATTTGTTTATGTGGTGGAATATTACTTTAACTATGAAAAGATATGTTACATTTGTTTATGTTGTGGAATGTTACCTTAACTAGGCAAAGATGTTTTACATTTGTTTATGTTGCCTTTATTTAACAATGTAAAGATGTGTTGCTTTGCCTGCTTAAAACACCTGATTGGTCTAATAAAAAGCTGGACGGCCAATAAATAACTAGTCAGAAGAGGGATAGGTAGTGTTTGTGGGCAGACAGAATAAGGAGGAGGAGGAGGAGTCTAGGCTGGGAGGAGAGAAGCAGTCACCAGCCAGACAGACATGGAGGGAATAGTGAGAGTAGAACATACAGAATGAAAGAAAGGTAAAAAGCCAGGAGGCAAAACATGGGTGAAAAGAAACAGGTTAAAATAAGTGATAAGAGCTAGGGACAAACATAAGACCAAGCCAAAAATAAAAGACAAATAGTATGAGAATTTGGTTCCCATTTTTCTTCTCAAAATGCATAGGAAATAGGTAAAAATCTCCATTGACCTAATATGCTAAAATTGTATCTTATCATATTTCCTAGCTAATTGGGAAATACATACAAAATGTATGTGTATATACTGAAGGGAAGACTCCAGAAGGAACTGGTTTGACAGAAGTAACATGAGGCAGATGAGGTATAGATCAAGCACTAGTCATTGCTAGATAGCAAGGCGCACAGCTCCAGGAAGCACAGAAGTAATCCAAAAGCCAAGTGGATGCCATGACATTAGGAGAGCATGGGTGGCAGAACCAAGTTTACTTGCTGTTTGTCCACCTGCCACTCACAGGTCAGAGTTCATCTTACAGGAAATGAATTCCCACTCTTCGTCAGACTCAGCCTCAGGTCTCAGCCTATCAATGTACTTCCAACATTGCCCCTTACTTTCCATCCAATCCAAGTTAGATTTTGCAGTGCTTTTAGCATGGCACTTTCTCTCTTCCCTTTTTAGCACTTGTCAGAATAGAATTTGGCAAAAGAGACCAGTACCAGGCACTGTCACTCATCTGTGGAAGCAAAAAAAAAAAAAAAAACACTGATCTCATGGAAACAGGGGGGGAAACAGAGTGGAAAATGATGGAGAGACTAGATAACAAGCACCCAAATACAGCCAACCAGGAAGGAGTAGCCTGTGTTCTACAGCAGGGCAGAGTAACAATTCTTTACAACTGGTAACAAATTTCAAGGGAATTAGTATAGTCCAAAGGTTCCCAACAGGAAGAAATAACAAAAGCTTGAGAAGTTAAAATGACCTTGATTTTATCATTATGTCACTTTATCCATGAATTAGTTGTTATACTGGATTCCATAAGTATTTAAATTAATATATTGTGGTAAAAATTAGAAAATGAAATATACAGGCTGCCTTCAGTTTCAGAAATGGTTCAGACCTGGGGATGGTGGTGCACAACTTTAATCCCAACACTCAGGAGGCAGAGGCAGGCGGATCTCTGTGAGTTCGAGGCCAGCCTAGTCTACAGAGTGAGTTCCAGGATAAGCCCCAAAACAAGACAGAGAAACCCTGTCTCAAAAAAAAGAAAAGAAAAGAAAAGAAATGGTTCAGTGAGTGAAGTGTTTTCCACACAAATGTGAAGTCTTGAATTTGGATCCCTATAACCCAACTAAATTATAGAGATCAACTTACATAAATATATATGTATATATTCATGTATATATGTATATATATATATATATATATATATTTCTCTTTCATACATAGTCATCATAGCATTACATCATAAATTTATAAAATTTATTCAATTTTTCTTGGTTTGATTACAAGGTTTTCTAATAAAAATTGATAGCCTTGGACAAATGCCAATTTGTGTTTGTACAGGTGCACTGTCTAAGATATATTTCCTATATAGGAAGGTCAAACCAAAACATCCCTCTAATATTAATATATACTGCTACATCTTCCCTAA